GTGTGGTACACCATGGAAAATAGCCAGAGGATACTGTTTTCTTCTTTGAGGAAGAGTTACTTATTTTTTCTTGTGGATAACTCTGAAAAGTAGGTCTGTGGTTGCTAGGGTCGTATCCTTAAGCAAGGACCATCTTTACTCCCCCCTGCTCCTTACCCTTTTTGTTCTCAGAGAGAGGATTTCATGTAGTCCAGAAAGATTAAAAACCTGTCTGTTGCTAAGGATGACCTCGTCCTGTTCTTCCTCTTGCTTCCACCTCCAAAATGCTGGGACTGCAAGCTTCAGACCTCACATAGTTCCTCCCCACCCTTTCATCTCTGGTAAAATGAGAATGATGATGTGTACATTCAAGAGCTATTAATATTGGACTGAAGAGATGCCTCAGTGGTTAAGAGCCCTTGCCTGTGCTTCCAGAAGACCCATGTTCAATTCCCAGCCCCTACCCAGCAGCTCACAACTGTCTGTAACTCCAGTTCCAAGGCATTCAACACTCTCCCACCACCGCATATAAAATAAAAACAATTTAAAAAGAGCTATCAGCTATTTCTGGCCTTCAAGAGTTTTATAGGTATCATTTTGTAGATGTCATTTCTATTTCCCCGCCCCCCAGCACTGGTTAATGAATATGTAGGTTCAGTAACAGAGTGAAAATACTTTCTTGTTTAAAAAAAAAAAATCATTCACCAAGTGTGGGCCCTATGTGACTCATGAGGATAGTTATAATTGCTTACTAGCATTTCCAAGGACCCACTTGTTCATCCTTCCACTAAATTAAAAGCCATTCTGCAAGTCTGACAATTGACAGGGAAATAAATGCAACTGACTAATAAGGTATTGACTGTGTGTGCTGTTTCTCAATGCTGGTTCACTTAACTCAACTGACATCTTGGATGTTACTGAGCTTAAGACTCCTCTGAAGGGACTGTGTTCATCTGCCAAGCTATTTCAGTACTTTGTTTCATTCTCAATCTAGAAGAACTGGAAGAAAAGAAAACTAGTTGTTTACAAGTAATTGGAGCCTTGAATTATAGTACAAGAGACACTCATGGCCAAAGTGGAACTTAATGCAAAGATTCTGTTTTTAGGATTGGCAAATAGAATTCACTGAAGAAGCAGCAGCTTGTTCTTTTTTTTTTATTTTTGAAATTAAATATAATTACACTATTTCTCCCTTTGCCTTTCCTTCCTCCAACTCTTTCTATGCATCCCTGCCATGTTCTCTTTCAAATTCATAACCTTTGTTTCTTTTTTGTTTTATATATACATATATATGTATACACACACCTACTCACAGTCTATATGTTTATATATTCCTAAATACATAGATATATCCTGCCCAGTCTATATAATATTACTTAGGTGTGTATGCATGATTTCAAGTTGACTACTTGGTTCTGGAAAACCAACGGGGGAGGGGGCGTGGTGAGGGCTCTTCCAATATGAAGACTATTTTTCCTACTTGCAGAATTCCTTACTTGCCTATAGTTCTTTGTCTAGAGTTGAGGTCCCATGAGCTTTGCCCCTTCCATGTGTGTCTATCGGTGTATAATCATTTTTCAGGACTTGCTTAGGCAGCCAAGTTGATCACACTTCATGGGTATAGCTTCCCTGACATTTCTAGATGAAATCTCACAGCACACTTCCTCTTTCTTTTGTTCTTACGTCTTTCTACCTTCATTTCTGCTATGATCTTTGAGCGTTGGATGCAAGAATTGTGTTGTGGATATATTAGTTGAGGCTGGGAACCACATGGTCATGTGTTCTCAGCATTTTGATTGGTTGTGGTTTTCTGTAAAGGTGTACATCTGTTGCAAGGAGATGTTTCTTGATGAGGGGTGAGACCTATAGTTCTCTGTAGGTATAAGGATATTTTTAATGTATTTAGGGTTATACTGATTTAATAAAATGTTAGTTGTATGTTCTCCTCCAGGATCTATGACTTTCTGGGTAGTTAGCTGGGTTTCTAATACCAAGTGCAACTTTCTTTTTGTTGAGTGGGTCTAAAGTCCAATTAGAGAGCTGTTGGTTACAGCTAAGGTATGTGAGCCTCTATTGCACCCTTAGGAATATCACAAATGCTGATCATTGTTTTATTTAGAAGGCAGCATAGTTGTGTGAGAGAATTGGATGGTTCCTACCCTTGGAAACTTACATGGAACAATATGCTTCTTTAGAAGTGATTTTGATCCTATGTAGACATTTTGAGAATATCTCCAGATGCCTAAGAATTAAATATGCAAAGGTGATTTGGAAAGAAATGTATTAGAAGACACACACACACACACACACACACACACACACACACACACACACACTGCTTGCTACCCTATGTGGATGCATCAGTACTTTTTAAGAGTCTTCTTTCTCAAATCCCTCACTTCATATTTGAGAAAAAAACAGAACCACAGCTGAGCAGTGTGGCCCATGCCTGTAATCTCAGGAGTTCTGAGGTAAAGGAAAGAGGATTGAGAGTCAGTTTGAGGCCAATCTGACTTAGGTAGTAGAGAAGAGGTGTAGGGGCAGAGGAGGAGGGAGGAACTAGAATCATGTAAAAAAATGTTATATATATTTACACATGTATACTAATTATTCATATAAAATAACACCTTTGCTGTAAGGGAAACAAACTAACTTATTCTGAGATAAATCTATGTGACCACACACTGTGTAGAAATTTCCTTCAGGTTAAAACATTCTATCCCAGAGGCAGCTTGACAGCTCTCTTGAGTCATCACTTTTGGGGTGGGATTTGGGTAGTGCAGCTGCCTTTGAGCTTTCCATGCTCTTGTAGGTAAGTCCTTACCTGTAGTTCTGAAGAAAAATTCAACAAACTCATTGAACTGCTTTGTTCTGTCAGTTTTCTGTCCAGGGTGAATAGACTTGTCTCCTCAGGAAGTGTCGCACAATTCCAGGTGCATGGACTTTAAATTACCCCAAATGACATATTGCAAAATGAAAGTAGTTGTATGATCAATATAGTTAACAAATAAATCAGTGGTAGTATCACGTGACCAGGACACAGTGAACCCAGCAAATCTTTTCAGGAGTTTTCAGATATTACAGTACTTGGTAGAGGTTCATGGTTTGCTAAATTTAACAGTACATTTAAGATTAGACACAAAGGCTAAGGGTAAATAACTATTTTTCAAAAGGGCCCCAAACATACCCATGATCTTTTGATATGTGTGCAGATGAATTTTTCTCCAACTTGAAACAAGGTAGATTCATCTGAGAAAACGAACTTCCTATGATAAAATGCTTCCATCAGACTGACCAGTAGGCAAATCTGTGTGTCATTTCCTTGATTAATGATTGATGTGAGAGGGACCCAGCTTAGAGTAAGCAGTGGGGCTCCCGAGGAGGTGGTTCTGGGTGCTGTAAGAAAGTAGACTGGGTATAAGCCAAATAAGCCCTTTCCTCCCTATGTTGCTTTTGGTCATGGTGTTTACCAAAGCAATAAAAACAAAGTGTAGTATTTCCTCTCTACAATCAGTATGTTCTACTGGATCAGGGTAGGGAGAAACATATTGTGAAAAGTTTCTACACCCAGATAAGGCTCTCTGCTACACAGCAATCCAAATCAGATCGAATTAGAAAAAAAAACTCAGATTTAATGGATAAAAGGCTCCAGGGTGATTTTCCCTGCCCTCTAGAGAGGAGATGGAGAAGAGAGACCCCCCCCAAAAAAAAACCCAACCAAACAAACAAACAAAAAAACCCTACCCCCACCTCAAAAATAAAAAACCCCAAGCCCTTCACTCAACCCCCCCAAACAAAACAAAAACAAACAAACAAAACCCCATGTGTCTGTTTTCTGAAGGGCAGTTAAAAAACCCAGTAGGAGTGGTCTTGAACATCCCTTGGGAGGGGTCATTATTTGGCTGGTTTTCTGAGAGGCATCAGGGTTTGGAGAGAGAGAGAGAGAGAGAGAGAGAGAGAGAGAGAGAGAGAGAGAGAGAGAGAGAGAGAGAGAGAGAGAGAGAGAGAGAGAGAGAGAGAGAGAGAGAGAGGTGGGGGAGGGGAATTGAAGTGGCGCTTCCACCAGAACACATAGCAAAACACACATACAAATATCAACATACAGGCACACGTGCACCTCACAAAAAGGCAAGGATTCACTGAGCTCCTAATGGGCCAGCTGCTTTATAAACATCAGACTATTAAAATATGTTGTTTTATCTCCATTTATGTAATCGAGAGTGTTTGCCTGTTTTGTTTTTACAGTGCAAGATCAGAGCAGTCATACAACATGCTTAAAGTTATAATGTCAGCAAAATCAGAGTCTGGAATGGCGACTTTATGACCCAAAGTTAGTGTGTCAAAGCCCTACTCATTATTATTATTAATTAATATTTGATGTAAACCATGTAGAGGCCCAACGCATCAGAGTCTCTTTAAATAAAACAAAGCTCAACAGACTTTCACATTCTTGTTAATCCTGTCTTTACCTGGTTACCTTGGTCTTATTATCATTTGGGTCAACACAAATCACTCAGATTTAAGGGTTAACGGTTTTACTAACAAATCATCGGACAGAATATACTTAAAAAATTAAAATTTTAGGTATGAGCAGAACACTGAAGCCTTCAGGGAAAACCAAATCAATAAAAGAGAAGAACGGAGCTGAAGAGATTTCTCAGAGGTGAGAGTACTTGCTGCTTGCTCTTCCTCGGAACCCAACATCAGTTCCCAGAAATAAGGGGCTCACAACCTCAGGTTAACTCCAGTCCTAGAGGGCCCAATGCCTTTTTTCCGGCTTTTTGAGGACACTAGCACTCACATAGCATATATTTACACATATACGTTAATAATTAAAAAAAAAAAAAAAAGGTAAAGACGAGAGAAAAAGTAAGGCCATTTGGGTTCTTCCTCTTCTACTTTAACAACCTCAACCAGGTTGCATAGGTTCTCCCTCTTCTCCCGCCCTCTGCCACTCAGGCGGTTCCGCTCGAGTGCGCAGGCGTGAGGACGGAGGCTGGGCCGTGGTTTCCTAGGAGACCGTGCAGCAGCTGCTCCGCGGTTGGCCGCCGGTGAAGATGGGGGTGGAGCCCGAGGAGGAAGGCGGCCCCGCGGAGGAAGAAGAAGCTGCTCGCGTCATGGAGCCCTTGGACGCGGGGGCGACGGGCAGCTCGCGGGGTGTGCGCCGTCCGGGTGATGGCGGGAAAGGAAGGGAAGGGTGGGAAGGGCGGGCGCCCGGGGCGGTCGTTGGGGCGCGGCCACTCGGTCCCGCTCGGGGCTGGAGACTGCAGGCTTACTGCCCCAGCTCCTGCACGCTTGGGCAAGCCTGCATTCCTGCACACATGAGTGGAGTGCACCTGTCTCCGGGGCGGGCAGGCTTTTCCTGACCTCCCAAGGGGACCCTTGATATTTCCGGCGGCTCCAAGTCGGAGAATAGGAGGACCTTGTCGTCTTAGACGTAGAGACCTGGCCTCAGCCCAGGTAGGAAAGGATGGCCCCGAATCTAGCAGGCAGGCTGGAGTTCCTAGGTGATCCACTTCCATCCCAGCCTGTGTGGTCCTGCCTTGTGGAGCCTTGCCCTACGCTGGATGTCCACTCACTGACATACCTACCCTCCCATTCCCCACCCCTCAATGAGCACAAAAGTTATGGCAATCAATATCTGTAATATCTCCTTGGTACATATATCAAAAAGTCCTAATTAAAGTTAGTACACAACTAATCCCCATTTACCGAAGGGCACACTATATTTAGAATTTGTCATTTTTTTCTACAAATATGCTTTTCCTAGCCAGGGTTGCATTTAGGCTGCTTTGTTGGTAACTAAAGAAGAGTATTGTTCCTATGGCCTCCTTTACCACCCATAACATACTATTTACTCACTGGCTTTCAGGTTTCAGGTGTACCCCAGACCCTAGTTTTTAAAATTACTCAGTTTCTCAACTCAGCAGTTAATTATTTGTTGTTTGTTGTGCTCCAGGCACTGTTCTAGGCACTGGGGACTTAAGAACAGGAAATCATATTCTCATGGGAGCTAAATTTAGTGTTCTGGAACAACAGGTTGTGCGGGCCAGTTTGACTTTTTTTTTTCTTTTTTAATGTAGGGACAGGCAGGTCATTTTGAGTAATTTTCAAGTTGGTTGAAAATAACCTTGCTACAATTTATTGCTTAAAAATTTCTAAAAGACTTAGATAATACTAGCTTTTGTGCCATTCATTATTGATCAAGACTTTTCCCCTTAAATTAACTACCCTGAGAGGGGAAATGTAGTAACTGAAGACCTTTTTATTGACAGAGTTTTATGTTTTCATGATTTGTAGATACTTTGGGGCATCTAAATAGTTGGCATTTGGCACATCATAAAATCCAAGGGGAAAAACTCTTCAGACCTTTTTCAGACATAATGTTTTAAGGGTCCCTTAGTTGCTCCCTAATGATAAGCAGCCTGAATATGTTTGCTTTTCTTTATGTCTTATGCAGCAGTTTTCGATCAAAGGGTGCCAACAAGAATCTCTTCATCCAGAGTCATAGTACATGTGGACCTGGATTGCTTTTATGCCCAAGTAGAAATGATCTCCAATCCAGAATTAAAGGACAAACCTTTAGGTAATCCATTGATGTTATCTTTGTTGGGTGATGATAAAATTAGCTTCAAGTATGATTTCTTTTTCTGATTTATTATAAAGACAGTTCTTGAAGTCCATTCTTAAGAACTTGGTTGGCAGTCATATTTGCTTTGCTATCAAGAGTAAATGTACCAAATCTTGTGCCTTTAATAAAGGTGACCACATTAGCATAGGTAGTTTGCACACAAACCAGAATGAGCTCTTAGTAGATGAACTAGCTCACTTCTGTAGGTATGTAATGAGCCCTTAGATGTAGCTCACTTCTGTAGTCATGTACCTCAAGTAAGGAAAATGGCTTTTCTTTCATGCATATATGAAGGGTCTTTTAGTATAAGCACAAAGGGTAGTCGCTGCTTTCATTTTGTGCCTTCATGGCTTTTATAAATTACAGCCCGTCGGGTTGATTTCCTGAAGAACAAAGGGATGACTAGGTTTTAGTTCTGTAAGGTGAGGCTGAATCCTTAAGCTTTCCCAAGAGGTCAGTGATTTAAATTAGGGGATCAGTCCCCCCCCCCACTTCTGAAAACCATTCTAGTTAGCACAAGATGCCCAGTAGTTACTTTGAACTGAAAGGTATTGTGTGATTGAGAAGTAGCTATTAAGTGGTTATGGTGAACTGCAAAGTGTGAATGCTCAGTCAGCTTTTATTGACAAATATGCAACCAGCTCAGGCCAAGACCTGCTGTGGGGAGCCCTTTTAGCTTTGGAGTTACTAGTCAGGCCTTTTTTATATAGCTCACTGAGACTTTCAGGCATCATCAGATATATGAAAAATGTATCAGCAAAATTAATTTTTATTTATCTTAGAATGGGTGTAGGTTTTTTCTTTTCCATATATTGCAGATGAATATACTTACTTTGTCATGGAGCAATCAACTTGAGTAAAAAGAGAAAAGGGAATAATTTTAGTAATCTTAAATGCCTGGTACATTTTTAAAAATGTATTCTATAGGTGGTCATAATGTTGTCAGTTTCAAAAGGAAGCCCAAAATAATTCCTCACAGTAAAACTACAAATTATTATGAGTTATAGTTCTTTGCTTACCGTACTTAATGGGACAGGATCTCTCATGACTGCTGTAGTTTGGCTTCTAGAATATTGCTCATATTCACTGGCAGTTTGCTCAGAGGATAAATCAGTTTTTCTAGCAGCAACTGGTATTTAATTGTTCTTTTTATTTTCATTGGGCTTATTGCTTGTTAAACATACCCAAGAGTATTACATGACAATGTAAATTAATTGGGCTTTGAGTTGTCTGAAAAGAATCCTTGAAGGATTTAATTTATGTTTTATCACTGAAAATTCGTTAGAGTATATTGACTTAACAATAATTTAAATTTGAGAAACACGGCTTCCCTTTTGTGTATGAGTAACTGCCCACATCCTTACATGTAGTTTCTGCTACAAGTATTCAGTATTTTCTTATTTAATATAAATTCTTTCTTCTCCAATTAGAAAAAAGCTAAATATAAAAGTTAAGATATGGGAGAATAAAGTTGGTATTTTATAATTTGTAAGTGGGGATAGCTCAAAAAACAAAACAAAACAAACAAACATACAACCCCCTTGATGTTTCTTCTTAGAATTTGATAGAGGCTGTTGTACCTAACTCACATGTCTTTTTTTCTTGTCAAAACCCATTGTGAACTGGGCAAGGTGGTACACTTCTGTAATCCCAGCACTTGCAAAAGCAAGGCAGAGGTGGGAAGATTCCACCTTAGATGGCAGCGTGGGTTACATAGTGAGTTCAGAGCCTCTGTGGAGGGTTGGGAAAGAGCAAAGCCTGGAAGGCTCTGAAAGTAGCAGTGATAGAGTGCTTGGCCAGCGTGCTCAAGGCTGTGGGTTTGAGCTTCATTGCTACAAACAACCACAAAGGAGACAGTGGGTTATCACCTCACTGTTACAGCTCAGAACTAGGAAACTGTATTTAAAAATGCTTGGTTTCCTCAGATGACTCTTATTTATTTATTTATTTATTTATTTATTTATTTATTTATTTTATAGGTATTCAACAGAAATACTTGGTGGTTACTTGCAACTATGAAGCTAGGAAACTTGGAGTTAAAAAACTTATGACTGTCAGAGATGCAAAAGAAAAGTGTCCCCAGCTGGTCCTCGTGAATGGAGAAGACTTGAGCCGCTACAGAGAGATGTCATATAAGGTTACAGGTACAAGTTAGTTGCCACATAGTTTAACATGTAGCACAACTATTCACTATACAAATAATATCTGTAAAGTGCCATATATCTGGGTCTTTTTTCCTAACACCTTAAGACAAAATTAGGCCTTGCTCACTCCAAAAATTATTAAGGAGTTGGCATGATGGCTCAGTGGATATATGCCCTTGATGTTAGGCCCGACAACTGGAGTACCATCCCTGGTACCCACGTGATGGGAGAAGAGAACTGATTGGGACACGTTGTCCTCTGACCTCCACACACATTGTAGCATGTGCCCCTCTGCCCCCACCAAATAAATAAAAGTAATAAAAATTTTTAAATATACAAGAGGCTTCATATGCCCCAAATAAATAAATAAATTTAATACAAAATTTTAGTGTTACAGCTGTGGTGAGAAAATGAATAGTTGAATGTAATTTAAATTTGGTCATGAATAATATTTATATAAGTAACGGAAAAATGTAAATGATATTTTAAAGTATAAAATGAAAGTAAATACTGTGAAGAAAGATGCTTTTTATGGGTGTGAAATTTATGTGTTGTGTGTGTGCATGGGCACACGTGCATGTGTGTGTGCCAGATATCAACATTAGTGTCTTCTGTTGCTGTCCAGTTTTTTAAAAATGTATTTGGTATATGTGAATGCTGTACTTTTCACCATCTAGTTAGAAGAAGATTCAGGGGTAAGTAAAAATGACTTTAAGGTTGTAATTTAGTGATTAGTTTTCAATCTCATTTCAGAATTGATAGTCCTCTTGAATGCTTTCTGAGTCTCGGTTTAGGTCAGTTTAGTGAACATCGTAATGGCTGAGTCTTACTGTGATGCTAGGCCTTTGAATTCCTGAAGGTTATGCCACTCCAGTTACTTCATCCTCAGGGGATGTACAGAGGGAATGGCTCATCAAAAATACTTCATTGTAGAATATTCTAAAAATTAGTTTTAAATGTTCATTTTGTTTATTGCAAATGTTTGTGGAAAATATAGCTAAAATTTTACTTGGTTATTCTTTTCTAAGAAGATTTAATTTAATAACATCAACTTCAAGATTTTAACTACCTCTAAGCATGGACTCTTTTTTTTTTTAAAGTATACTACAGATTAAAAAAAAAGTTATAGATGTGGAAGACTGAATGTATTCCTGTGAGCAAATTATCTTAGGAATATTATTTTTTGAACTTTTTTCCTTTGAATATTGCCTTTACTCAAAAGTGTTTTAACTGAGGATATTATTAAAGGTTGTGGAGCTGGATTGGGAGATGGCTCAGTGGTTAAGTGTACTGGCTGCCAGACTGATAGCTGGAAAACCAGCATAGGACCAACCAAGACCACTTGAATGTGGGTCTCAGTTAGAAGGCCTGGACAGTCTAATGGACCTCTGACAGTGGAACCAGGATTTATCCCTGGTGCAGGAAAGGACTTTGAGATCACATTCCCCATGGAGGGATACTCCCATAGCCTAGAGACAGGAGGGAGGGCCTCTCCCTACCCCAAATGACTTGACAAATTTTGATTATCCCTCGTGGAAGGCCTCACCCTCCCTGTGGCATGGATGGGGAATGCAACTGGGGGGGGAGGAGTGTGGGGGGCATGGGAGGGAGGGAGAGGGAACTAGGATTGATATGTAAAATAAGAAAAAAATATACATTATGGGAAAAAAAAAAAGAGTACTGGCTGCTTGTTGCAGAGGGTCTGGCTTTAATGCCTGGCACTCACATGGGGGCTCACAACCATCTGTAACTCCAGTCCTAGGGAATCCATTGCCCTTTTCTGGCCTCTGCAGGTACCAGGCACAAACATGGTACACAGATGTACATACAGGCAAAACACACATACATATAATGTAAAAATTTAAGTTAAAAATTAAAAGGGCGTGTAGCTGCCTTGCATGTGGTGTACACATATTTTAATATGCTGTATTTGGTACTTTGATTACTAAACAGTGAATTCTGTTCTAGTCTTAACTTAATTTTGTCTGTGTTCCAATTTTATTTCAATTTAGAACTGTTGGAGGAATTTAGTCCAGTTGTTGAGAGACTTGGATTTGATGAAAATTTTGTGGATCTAACAGAAATGGTGGAGAAAAGACTCCAGCAGCTTCCAAGAGATGAGATTCTCTCTGTGACTGTGTCAGGCCATGTTTACAATAACCAGTGTGAGTGCTTCCTCCCCATCCCCCTGGGTGACCGGTTACTTTAAGTGAATATATCCCATAGTCATCGAGGTCGCTGACAGATTTGTGGCCTCTTTGGAGATACAGCTATGTTTGGTATCTAAGATAGCCCAAATGAGGTCTTGCTGGTCCATGTTAAGTATTCAGGATAGTTCAGTAGTGTGAAGGAATGTGTCTTGGATGGTTTTCGTCTCTCAGAGGGAGTTATCCTCCCATTCTTTCCCATCTGTTTTTTTAAGAACCATAGCTTTGTAGGTCATCCTTAAGTTCCAGAAGTTGACTTCTTACTTTTTTTTTTAAAATCATTATTTTAATTCTCCTGAATTTTGAATGTGTACATTCTCCTGAATTTGCTGTCGATGTATATTTTCCCTGATCCCTTCTGTTCCTCTGAGGCACTAAGAGTCCCCTGTTGGATCCTGGCTGAATCTTGTCTGGGCCTTTAGTCACAAACCTATCTTGCGGTGTGCAAGTGACCTTTCCATGCTTCAGATTAATCGGTTCCGATGACCATTAGCAGCTATGAGCAAGAAAACAATGTCATCCATCTTCACATATTCAGATGTGGAGGACTGATGCTTTTCTAGGGATATTTGCATCTATAAATAAGTTGCAGTGAGTGCCTGTGAATATCTGATTAGACTGCTAGGCACCCATGACTGCTGGGCAATCAATGTGGAAGACAAGCTCTTTATGTAAGAGCAGCCCGACCTAGCTGTTCCTATTTCTCAGCATGTGCCTTTTCTTATGCTCCTGTTTGGAGAATCCTGTATAGCTAGTCCCCACAGAAGAAAAGGGGTAGGACCACCATTTCTTAGGAGACAAGAAACTTCTCCTGTGTCTCTTGTACCTGTGCTCTTTTGTTAGTCACCAGGGTAGAAAGCAAGTAAGATTCCAGATACGGCTTTGCACAGCAAACCTTTCTACTGAGAACAAACACATCAGTGTATAGAGAGCTAGATTTTATATTTCAAGGCATTATAAGTGCCTAATTCCTAATATAAGTTATTTGTTGAAACAGCTCTCACTATGTAACCTGGCTGGTCTGGAACTTATGTGTTGACCAGGATAGCTTTGAACTCAGCAATCAGCTTGCCTCTGCCTGGCTCCCAAGTGCCTGGCTCCATATAGATTTAAAAATAGTTCCTTTCAAACAAGCACATAAATTGAGGAATCATGGTGTGAACAGTCTTGTCTGTTATAGACAAGCCAGTTATCATTTTGGCACATTTATTTTTATCTTGCCTCTGTGGACTGTGTGCTTGCTTTGAGCTAGACTGATGGATGAGCCATTGGGGACTAAATTGTAGGCTCTGTGACACTTTATCTCCAAATTCTTTCAGCATGAATCCTAAGGATAAAGATGGGTCCATATAATTCTACCATTCCACACCAAAGAAAATGTATTTCTTTATAATCTCCCTACAATGTCATAAGCAGATCTCCTAACCCATGGGCCAGTCAGAAATAGTTTTCATTAAGGTGTTCAGGTAATGTGTGAATATATACTTATTTCTACTTATTTATTGGTAAACGTGAATAAAAGTTTTATGCATGGCCACTGGAACTTCTTATGAGCTGCATTTTCATAGTCTGGTAATGATTAGCACTCCCAGCATTATCACAGACTCTAGGCATTTGTTCACTTTATAGTAATCTATGAAGAACAAAAGCAACAGAAGAGTGGTGGGGGAGAGGTGGATACAAACAAAATCCTGGGCTTATTTAAAGCTTTCTGTGGAAAAGAAAAATGAATGTTTTTGTGGTAATAGCATTGTCATTATAGCTGTAAACCTGCAAAACATCACCCACGTGAGACTTGTGGTCGGGTCGCAGATTGCTGCAGAGATGCGCGAAGCCATGTATCATCAGCTTGAGCTCACTGGTTGTGCTGGAGTGGCTCCCAATAAACTATTGGCAAAGTTAGTTTCTGGTGTTTTTAAACCAAATCAGCAAACAGTCTTATTACCTGAAAGCTGTCAAGATCTCATTCACAGTTTGAACCACATAAAGGAAATGCCTGGTAAGACAAATACATGTGAAGACTGTATATTGGTTTTGTTGTAATTTCTTTAATTTAATAGGCATTTAATTCCTAGAGGCACACATTTGGCTTTTGGATAAAACCAAAAAAACCTGAAATGTTTTCTGGAACAAATTTTTTTGAAGAAATATGTGAAAGGACTTTTCTACATAAGGTTCTGAGTGGTGCCTTGGGACCATATGGTCCTATACTTACAGTTTCTCTGTACATTTCACAGAGAAGGGAGTTCATCATTTGCAATGTATCCCTGTAGTAGATCTTTCTTGTTGGACTTTACACTGCCAGCACCCAAATTATTATTAATTATGAAATCTTGGCCTTTCGCTTAGTCTTGTTCCCAACTGCCTCTTTTAAATTAGCCAGTATGTATTAATCTACATTCTGCCATGTGGCTCAGAACCTCTCCTCCATTCTGTGTGTCTAACTCCCTCAGTGTCTCCCTGGCAATCCCTGCAAGCTGAGATTCATCCCCCTGATTTCCTCTCTCTACCTGGAAGTCCCCCCAACCTCTCCTGCCTAGCTATTGGCCTTTCAACCTTTTATTAAGCCAATCACAGTAACAGTTTTCACACAGTTTAAACAAATATCCTGCAACATCTCTTTGTGGACTTTGAATAAAATATTAGTGGCACAGTGAACTTCCAAAAGCTTTTAGTGGAGCTTTTCATTAAAAAAAAAAAAAAAAAAAAAACTTTTGTGTGTCCATACTTTTGTGCATATGTGTTTGTGGGTGTGCAGGTATGTCAACCGCAAGTATCATTGTTAATCACCTCAGCATATTTTTTGGGACAGTCTCTCACTGAACCTGAGATCATGGATTAGAGGGACCCTCCTGTCACCACCTCCCTACTTCTTGGGTTTTGGGTATGCACCTGAGCTCATGGCTTTTTATGTGGACTAAGATCCTAGGGTTTATGCAACATTACTTTACCAAAAGAACCATCTTCTAGTTCCCGAGTTCCTCATTTTAAAGACAAGTGACCTACTTAGTAGTCAAGGACAGATAGGCTGTCTATTATTAATGAATACATTAAAGTTCATTTTTGTAGGGATTTAGGAATAAAATGGGGAAATGGATTTCTGAGACAATAGAAACGTCACCATTTAAATGGCACTACTTCTCTTTTTAGACAGATGCTAGAGTGATTTAATTTGCTTTTTATCCTAGCTTACCTTCTTCAGTAGTCTAATAGGAAGGATTGACTCTCCTGAAGACTCATGTTAGATTGTAATAAGCTGAGATCTCTATACCCCTGCAAAACACTCTTGCTTGATTTACTTTTTAGTTAATTATCTGTGTTTTGTTTTGATCTCACGTAGCATAGATTAGCCTGGAACTTGCTGTAGCTGAAAATGGCCTTGACTTACTACTTTACCACCACACCCTGAGTTCTGCAACCACAGCTAGTTTTATGTAGTTCTGGGGATAAAACCCAGCCCCTCATGGAAACTAGCCAAGCACTCTGTCTGCTGAGCCTCCATCCCTAGCCCTCATCTGGGTTTTTCATAGACTTTTACCTTTTCTTTTATTCTAATTGTCAGTCTTTAATTCTGCTGTAAAGTGATCTGTTACTCCATTTTAATAATTTCCCCCTACATGCCTGCTTCCTGCAATCTACTGCTTTTACTGTCTGTGCAAGGAAACCAGAGTGCTGTAGGATTATTATTTTTAAATGAAATTTAGAAAAGCATTTCAAAGCGTATTTCTCCTATGCATAAAATATGACTTTTTTAATGGAGTTAGGTTAGCAGGAAAATTTTTGCTTGTTATTTTTTCTTTTTCTTTTAGTTTGTTCTGGATGGTAAGTATGATTGTGGGTTCATGTGTGGTGGGCCATTTATGAATTTGCTTGGCACTTCTAATTGTTGCTGGTAGTGCAGTCCTTTTTGCATACATGAATTATAACTTTTATAATTTATTTTTTATTTTTTCACAGTATCGAAGTACAGGTATTTTTTTATTTTTTCACAGTATCGAAGTACAGGCTATAAAATATGTGTTTGATCCAGACAGAACACATTGGCTGTCTCTTAGGAGGTAGTCCATGTTAGGAGGGTTTCAGAGAAGTTTATTTATATCATCCACAAGCCCTCAGTGGAAGAAAGTCAGTGGTTTTTGTAATGCGGTTTGAGCTTAGTAAAGTATTAAGGAACTTATCGTGTGGTGGAAACATTTTTAATATTTAGAGTAGCTTTATTTTCAAAAGCAAATCCTTTGTAACAGGATGCATTTCTGTTGTTCAGGTATTGGCTATAAGACTGCCAAACGTCTTGAGGTGCTGGGAATCAATAGTGTGTGTGATCTTCAGACCTTTTCAATCAAAACATTGGAAAAGGAGTTAGGAAGTTCAGTTGCTCAGCGCATTCAGAAGCTCAGTTTTGGAGAGGACAATTCTCCTGTCACACCCTCAGGGCCACCGCAGGTACGTGAGCATGGTGTTCATTTCACGAGGTCCTAGTTGTGATGCTACTTAAGATAAAGCTGTCTGGCTTCAGTATTCACTGCTCTCCTTTGCTTTGGTGCTTGTACGTGATCCCTTCCCTATGAGAAAGTGACTTATGTGAGCTTAGTAAGTACTCTAAAATTGGAACTTGCTTGTCAGTAGTTTTAATCAAATTATGTTTTCTTTTTACTACTGTCTTAAAATCCTAACACACACACACACAAACATGAAGAAAGCATTTTAATCTTTTGAAACATCTTTGTTTCCAGAATAATCCAGTGATTTGGCAAATGGGGAGGGTATAATTATCCAGTTAGTATGTTTTTTTTTTTTTTTTCTTATGTCCCAGGTACTTTAGAAAGTGCTCCACATATTTGGCGCATTTAAATTTCACCACAAATCTTGGAGCTTGACAGTGCTATTTATCCATATTTGCTTCCCCTTTCTCAAGACCAGGTTCAAACACTGTCAAGCTCCAAGATTAAAGTTTGAGGGCTGTTGGAGCCTTGCTGTAGTGTATAGAGAAGTATAGAGAGACTGGAGCTGGTCCTAGTGTTTAGCATTTCATGACTTGTGCACAATAACTGTCCACACCAAGAGTTAACGAAAAAGAGAGCCTGGTGTTGTCACATAGTAGGACGAGGTGGTAAAGAGTGTGCTGAGCATTTCTTTGGCATGAGTGCTGTGTTTGAGTTTGCACTAGTTTATACTTCTTTGCTAGTCCTTTAGTGAAGAAGACACATTTAAAAAGTGTTCATCGGAAGCTGAAGCTAAAATGAAGATTGAAGAACTGCTTTCCAGCCTTTTGAAGAGGTACTTTTCATTTTGTCTCATCATCCTTTGTATTCATCCTGTATGCACCCCATAGACATTGCGTTCTATATCGGGCTTCCCAGATTAACTGTATTCAAGATAGATCACTTGACATTACATTTCTCTCATCATGTACTCTTAATTAAAATTACCCACTGCCATTAGTCTTCTTTCAAGTGACATGGTGGGTATGTTGATCCTAAGCTACAGTAGTTAGTTACTTGAATGATTTCTTAGGTATTTCTAATGTTCCTTTTCCTAGACTTAGAGACTTTAGGTGAGAAGGGCATTTAAAATCTTCCCTATAATTATCTCACAGCCTTGCTCCTGCCGTCATAATTGCCTGCTTTTCAGTTAAAGGGGGGAAAGTGCAAGAAGAGTACTTCCACCACAGTTCTAACTCTCCGTATGCCGGACTGTGTGTCGGGGTTCATGATATTTCAGAAGAGGAGGATGCCGAAGTGGCAACACTGGAGAAAGCAGTGGGAGCCCCCACTCCCCAAACTGTTGAAAAGATAGTGGAGTCAAAGGAAGGGATGCCTACTAAACGGGGCAGTGCATGAGTGGGTACAAGTGTGTTCAGGGACTCTGGCCTGAGAGTTAACAGTGATGCGTCAACTGGGATGTAAAGATACAAAAAAAGTAACCTAAGCTGACAAGAGATGTTTCCTGGTGCTCCTTGTTGTCTTTGAAATGTGCATTTCTCATTTCTTGCAAGAAAGCATTTCTTTCCCATCAGTTCACCCATTAGAAGTGTCTCAAATTGGTTTAGAACATGTGTGCTTCTGGAGTGATCCAAGGGAGACTAGCTGTAGACAGATGAAACAACTAGTTGCTAGTATCAGAAAACATGATCTCAGGTCGCCTTCCATTTTGCTGCCCTGTGCAGCTGGCCTCATGTCTGGAGCAGAGCTATGCTGCTCACTGCTGGCTGCATGCTCCGAGGGTGAGCATGACTCAGCTCCAGTGATGTGACTCATTCTGTCCTTGGAGTGTGCTGTTGAAACTGGGTCATCACTCACTCTACCGCAGCTCACGAGTACTCTGAGATGTGTGGCTGTGGAGAATGGCCCAACACAGGACACAACAGGAAGTGTATGTTATATCTAAATCCTCGCCCTTGAAGACTCAGTCCTGAAGAGAGCGGGCACTCTAAACTTCTGAGACACCAGGTATTAGCATTTGCTCATGCGTCTGCTTTTCAAAGCCTCCAACACCACATGCAGCACCTCTTTTATGACAGAGGTATAACAGATTTAACTGACTGGTATAAACATAATTTCATTTATCTTGTGTCTGTGTATGAAATATATTTTTCTTCTAGAGAATCTATTGATTAATCCTACAGGGAGGAAAGGAGGGTAAGCTGTATTTTACAAAGCCATCCTCTAGGTACTAGTTTAAAATTGCTTTTAGCTTTTTCCTCATGTCCCATTGAGTGGACCTTAAGTCCAATTAGGCAGCTGTTGCTTATCACCAAAATATAAGCACCAGGCCTCAAACTCATAAAGATCCACCTGCTTCTGTCTCCAGAGTGCTGGGATTAAAGGCATGTGCCACCATCAACTGGCAATGTTATACCAGTTTAATGAAATGGTAGATTTTTTTTCTAGGGTCTATGACCTCTCCAGCCAAAGGCTTTTGGCTGGTCTTACAGCACCAGGCATGGAGTTCCTTCTGCTAAGCAGGAACTATGCAAATCCAACTATATATGTAATGCCAGTGAAGGAATGGACTTGCTTGTGACAGTGAGAGCATGCAGGCAAAAAGAGCAAGCTTCCTTCTTCCATGTCCTTTATATGGACTGCCAGCAGAAGGTGTGGCCCAATTCAATTCAGCCCTTCCTAGTCGCCCCCTTATAGTTAAGCTTTCTTGTCCTCTCCATGTTACACTGTACCCATGTGTACATTTGGGTAGATTCTGAACATGAGGGAGAACATATAGTTTCTTTCTTTCTGAGATTGTATGACCTTGCTTAATATATTGTATGTAGGAAGTCCATCCATTTCCTCACACATACCTCAAATTTTCATTATTAAGGCCTTTGGTTAAAAGCCCAGGAGCAGTATGGGTAAATCATATGGTAGATTTGTTTTTAGCTTTCTGAGGGACCTCCACACGGATGTCCACAGTGGCTGTACTAGATAGTACTCTCACCAGTGAGAATGAGGACTCATCTTTCTACACATCCTTTACCCACATTTGTTATCTTTTGACTTAATGGTAGCCATTCTAATGAAACAGCAAAGGAGTTTTACTTTAAAGGAGGATCAGTTTATTTTGCTTCTTGGCATAAGGGAGGGAAAAAATGTCCCCTCCAAGTGGGGAAGACACAGGGGCAGGAGTGTGAGGTGAGGTAGCCTGTCCCATCAGTCTGCAGTTAGGGAACAGAGACAATTTTTTTTTTTTTTTTTTTTTTTTTTTGGTGGGGTTGTTTTCCTGATGCTTGATTTTCGAGTTCTTTATATATTCTGGCTATTAGTCCTCTACTGAATCTATAGCTGGCAAACATTCTTGCCAATTTAATATGTTTTTATAACTATGTTTGGGACTATAGAATAGATTGCTCCATTTCTGACAGCACTTAATTCTGAGTGACTGTTCTATTTTAAATGTCAGCGCTTTGCTATGCTGACTTGAGATACTCACTTGGGTGTTCTTGAGCATGTATTGCTTATTATGTACCACTTGCGACAGTACATATAGTTACCGGATCTGACACTTCAGTACATACATGTCCCAACATCTTAAAGACATGTTATTACATTTTATAATTCTGTTTTTCCATTTGTGTTTTTAGAGTATGCCACGATGGAAGGAAGCCCCATACAATAAGATTAGTCATCCGTCGGTACTCTGATAAACACTGTAATCGTGAGAGTCGCCAGTGTCCCATTCCTTCCCATGTCATTCAGAAATTAGGGACAGGTATGGGCTACTTTTCTAAGAACGTAGTTGGCATATTGAACTCTTCAAAAAGTAAACTTTGAGTTAGAAACATACTACATAAAAGTATTTTGAAGTCATTTTCAAAATTAATTTTACCAGGGAGTAACAGTAGGAAAACTCTTTAAGAGATAATAAAAGTAAATTCTTAGTTATTTAAACAGTAAATATTTAGTTAAAAATATATCCCAACTTCAAAGGGAACAAAACTAAAATAATTGTGTAGAATACATTTAGTAAATATTGCCAAATGCCCAGAGATCCCAAATTAGGTTTTAATTTTGTAATATATCTCATGTGAATAATACTATACTTTGAATATTAATTAAGATGCAGGTGCTTATTATACTTATACTATATTATACTTATACTATTATACTATATTATACTAAGTAAAATGTATATATACATTTTACTTAGGAAACTATGATGTAATGACTCCCCTGGTTGATATCCTTATGAAACTTTTCCGAAATATGGTAAATGTGAAGATGCCATTTCACCTTACTCTTCTGAGTGTGTGCTTCTGCAACCTGAAAACACTGAGCACTGCTAAGAAGGGGCCCATGGATTTCTACTTAACATCGTCCCTGTCAACCACGTCCCACTCCGGCAAGCACAGTTTTGTGAGTACACCTTTACTATGCTAGAAATGCAGTGTACATTCGTACTTAGTGCTACTTGGAGATTCTTTGATGTGTTCCTGTTTGGGTGATTTACTCATTTGTAGCTCCTGTCACAGGATGGCCGTTGGCATTAAATATATTGTAATCTGAGAGGAAAGTGTAAAGATCAGAATAAAAGAGACAAATAGTATGGTTCTTCTGTTTGGGAAGTATTAGCACATTTTTTTGGAGGAATATTTGTGGATTGGCTTATAAATATAAACATATCTAGAAATTAATTATGATTGCATTAAGATTGGAATAGTATTATTATAATTGTTGAGCTTTAGTTGAATGTATGGACATTTTTATGTTACATGAAACTAGAAGGAAGGGGCAGTCAGATGCAAAAAATTTAAGAAAAATTGTGCAAACTTTGGTTCAGAGTGTTTAAGTTTTATATAAATGTAGCATTATGCTTAAAAATAATAATATACTTGGGGGCTGGAGAGATGACTCAGAGTTTAAGAACAGGGAACAGGAGCTGCTCTTCTAGAGGTCCTGAGTTCAAGTTCCAGCAACCACATGGTGGCTCACAACCATCCATATTGAGATTTGGTGCCCTCTTCTGGCCTGCAGGGACATATACAAGCAGAAAACTATATACATAATAAAACCATGTGATATATACATTTATATACACACACATATACATACATACACACACACACACACACACACACACACACACACACACACATATATATATATATATATATATATATATATATACTTTTTTGTTTCTTTCTATTAAATGTTACCTTTTAGACAAGAAATTTTTGGGAAGTCAGACCTTGGTGCTGTCTACATATATTTTTTAGTAACATTGTATCACTTAGTTTACAGGATTAGATGTTGGAATAAATGATTGTTGAGGTCCTTTCCTTATGTATGTTTTGTCTCCTACTTAGTGCTAACTAGCAAGGAAAGTATGAATATCATGATAAGCTAAACAGTAATATAACTCACTGGGATGGATTAATCATCTGTAGCTACTCAGCACTGGCAACAAAAGACTGAAGGTGTTGGGCAGGTTTGAAATCATTTGCAAGGCACTAGCTATGGGAAAACTTCAGCAGCAGTGATGTTTAAGACATGTTCTGCTGTTCCCTTGTGTTCTAGAAAGTGAAAGACGCTCACAATGAAGACATTTACAAAGAGAAAGAAGCCAACTGGGATTGTCTACCAAGTAGAAGAATTGAGAGTATGAGAACTGGGGAGTCCCCACTGGATGCCACCTGTCTTTTAAAAGAAGAAGTCACAAGTGACTTTCCACTCCAGGCCCTTCCCGAGGGCGTTGACCAAGAAGTCTTTAAGCAACTTCCAGCAGACATTCAAAAAGAGATCCTTTCTGGAAAATCCAGAGATAGTCTCCAAGGGAAAGGAAGTTTAAGTTGTCCACTGCATGCCTCTAGAGGTGTATTGTCTTTCTTTTCTACAAAGCAAATGCAAGCTGCTTCCTTAAGTTCCAGAGATACTGTGTCTACTGGCAAGCGGGTATCGGCTGTGTCTCCCTGTGAACCAGGAACGTCAGGCTCGAGTACCAGTAGTTCTTCCCATCCATCATGCGGAAAGGATTGTTCCTATTATATAGACAATCGGTTAAAAGATGAACGCATGAGTCAGGGACCTAAAGAGTCTCAAGGATTCCACTTTTCCAATACAAACCCTGCCGTTTCTGTGTTTCATTCATTTCCAAATCTGCAGAGCGAACAACTTTTCTTCAAACACCGCTCTGCGGATAGTCACAAGCAGACAGTAGCCACCACCTCTCATCAAGGACTAGTGGAAAGTAGAGAGCAAGAATCTGCCGATGAAAAACTTACTTTCCCATCTGATGTTGATCCTCAAGTTTTCTATGAGCTACCAGAAGAGGTCCAAAAGGAATTGATGGCGGAGTGGAAAACAGCCGGAACAGAGCTCCACTCTGTACATAAATAATCACACTCAGGAAAAGGGCCAGAAAGCAAGGGAGGCATTAGTTTCATATTAGCTTCCCATAAGCTCTTCTTATTTAAAAACTAATGTTCAATGACGTAGAAATCCCAGTGTAAGGTGTTCCAGATAAAGCAAGAATGGTGCAAGAAGTAAATTCTAGCACAAAGGGAAAAAATATCAATAATGTGATAATGTAAAAAAAAAAATGCTATCTTCTTGTTATTTCTATAGCTGTTTTATATCATTTTCCAATAAAAGGAATATCATGGTCAACAGTAGGCTGTTTGCCATAAGTTGTGGGACAGATGTTTTATGTCTGCATGCAAAATACAGGCTCATCACAGCATTTCTTATTCTATAGGAAAGAACAGTTTTTTTTTTGTTGTTGTTGTTTTGTTGGTTTTTGTGTGTGTATGTGTGTGAACTGTGCAGTGTTTCAAAGTCAGTCTATAGCATCCAAATAGGAAATAATCTTTTCAGTTTCAAAAAGGTAAATATCTTTAGCCAAATTACTACATGTAATTTAACAAATTGGTTTGATTCTTGTTTTTGAAGTAATAACCTATTATGTAATCCAGACCAGTCTCAATTTTGTGAACTTTCTGCTTCAGACCCCTGAGTTTTGAGACATCACTGTGCATCAATCAGCTTTTGAAGAGTTTTGTGTGTGTGTGTGTGTGTGTGTGTGTGTGTGTGTGTGTGTGTGTAGTGGAAGAAGAGTGGAGAGTAATGTTCTGCAGGGTAAGAACTTAGAAAAGCAACAAAACATATCTACTGAGTACATGTTTAAAACTGAGATGAGTTAACAATGTAAACAACACACATAAGCATAAAAAATAGATGATGTGTGCTAGGGCACTTCACCAGTGACTACCTGACATCATTGCTTCCTAACCACATCCAACTACCTGACAGTCCTGCCCAGGACAACTTGCATGGTAGCTCAACCTGGTGAGTCTTTCTAATCCTAACTCCTCACACCTTTACCAGTTTCACCCTGCAAACTAGCTTCCATAATACAAGTAGGTGCTATGCCAGCTGCCAAAGGAAGGTACAATGAGTAACCCTACCCAGTGTGATGCCTATGAACCATGATATGGTAAAATAGCCCTGTAGATGCAGTAGTGGCACTCGCTAATATCTTTGTGGGAAGCAGCAGCTCTCTAATTGGATTGAAGGCCCACTCAACAGGAGGATCTCGTGACTGGTAATGGAAACCTAGCCAGATATGCAGAGCTAGTGAAATCGTGATCTTAACTAAGCCAATATAATCTCAACTGTGTGGGTTTGTCCTCTGGGTAGGAACACCTGACTTTTGACAGATTTACTTTTTGGAAGCAGATTCTGCTCCCCCATCTCCACCAGTGAACTGTGGTTGAGGCTGCATCTAGTTACTTATCTGCATTGCCTGTCCACACCTCACTCCTATACACCCCCCCTGCTGGATTTAAAAAGCACTTCCTCTATTTCTCTCTGGGAATAAGCCTATTTTTCCTTATTCTGACTTCCTTCACATACACACTTGGAAGTCAGATCTGCCACCTTAGCTGAACATCCTACATTTAATATTTTATATGTCTGATGTCTAGGTTTGCTCAAATGTTTATCTTGTGGGAGTAGGCCTTTTTTCCCCTTGCATCTCAGAAATACAACTTACTTTTAAAATATTAGAACTATGGGTTTACAAACCGCCTCTTGGCTCTTCACTTTTTATTATAAATGTAGTTATTGTCCTTCCTTCCTTCTCTCCCTCCCTCCCTTTCTCTCCTTTTTCCTCCTTCTCTTTCTCTTCCCCTTTTACTTGTAGACAAAGTCTCTAGCCCAGGGTGGCCTTGAACTATTGAAGAAGATCTCAACTTTCTGATCCTCCTCCCTCTACTTCTTGAAAGCTTGGTTGGATACAGGCTACCAGCCTGCATCCCTGCACCACACACAGTTCCCAGTTGATGTGGTACTAAGAATGGAGCCTGAGGTCTACTGCATGTTAGGAAAGTACACTATTGACAGCTACCCTCCAATCCCTAGCAACCCCTAGTTTTTTGTTTTTAATCAAGTTTGGGATTTAGAACTTTCTTGAATTTTCACATTTATTCAGATTTCAGTTTTTTAATCATCTGATGTAGGTAGAATTTTCTGTTCCATCAGTCAGTTCCTAAATAACCACACAGAGACTTATTGACTTATTATTAATTATAAATGCTTGGCTGATAACTTAGACCTATTACTAACTAGCTCTTACAAATTAAATTAGTTCGTATTTATCAATCCTCTTGTTGGCACTTGACTGGTGGCATTTACCATTGAATGTCTTGTTCTCTCTGTGTCTGCCTGGCGACGACTCCACCCTTCTTCAGCCTAGAGCCCTCTCCCTGTCTACAAGTGGCATCCAACCTCTTCCTGCCCAGCTATTGCCCATCCAGCTCTTTATTAAGCCAATGAGAGCAACACATCTTGACAGTGCTCAAAAAGACCACTCCACAATAATCAGGATTATTAAAAAAACCTTGTGAAACCTTTACACAGAAAGATGCAAAAGTATCAATATGCAAATATGTACTTAGAAGAAACAAGTGTACAATGAAACAAGAAATAAAGGTAAGGCAGGTGGTGCATGCCTTTAATCCCAGCACTTGAGAGGCAGAAGCAGGCGGATCTTTGTGAGTTCAAGGCCAGCCTGGGCTACAGAGTGAGTGCCAGCATAGGTTCCAAAGCTACACAAAGAGACCCTGTCATGAAAAACCAATGATAATAATAATTATTATTACTATACCAAAACAACACAGAAATTAAGTAATCATAAAGTCCAGAAGTTCTAATTCTCAGTTAGTAGTTGTATAGAGTGTAAAATGTAAAGACAATATATCACATTAAGTGTGTGCTTTAGGATACATAGGAAATATGCTGTTGGTGTAGAGATTAGACATTTAAAAATGGTCATTTTCCAATAGCCATTTGTTTCAAATTATAAAAGTAAGAAAATTTGCCATGTGCCTGATTTATCTAAACAAAACCCAGTGGTTTCATAGTATTAATGATAACACATTTGTGATGGTAATTAGAATATTCTATCTCTAGGTTGGTAGAACGTGGAATGCTAGTTTGCTTTTGGGGCCAGTTTTTGGGGGTAGGGCATGGCAGTACTGATGACTGCTGTACTCTACTACTGAACTATAATTAGCCCCAGCCCTTGGGTCATTTGATTAGATGAATACATTTCCATTACCCTAATAATGAAAATAATTTGGATTCCCATACTTGCATTATTTCTGTTTACTGAGATACCTGCTTTAGCCTTGAGATTCAGTATTTAGTTTGGGGTAGTTGAGTAATCATATGCTTACTCAGCGTCCTATGAAACTGTGTATGCAGTAGTCATGTAATCATTGAAGCTTTCTATTATATCTGGTCAATGAGTCCAATGATTAACAAATAATGATGTCCATTTGGATATTTGAACTCCCAAATATTTATTTCTAAATACAGATAAGCATCTTGACTAGTCCATGAGTATTCACTTTTCATTACATTCTATGAAACTATAAATTTAATTATTGTAAAAAACACTGAAATTATGAATGTAAAATAATTTTATGTAAAAAATTAAGAGCTTCCAAAGGATTAGAATTGGCAGTTAATATCAAAATATTCAGAGAATACATTATATGGTTCATTTTATAAGGGAATAAAGTATTTTTTGAATATTTGGAAGTAATTGCTATAAAAGTTGGTATCTAGAAATGCTGGACTGTCCCAAAAAATTGTAAAATATATGATATTTAGGTTTCCGAGTAACAAGGGTTGGAAGAAATTGTTAATAAAAGTTGCAATAATGTTTAGGAAGCTATTATAAGAAATTAGTGTGAAAGCTGCTGGTGGTTCCTTAGAAAGCAGACCTAATGTTTGGTTTGGGCCTAAACTATCCACAAGCAAAATGTGGGTGCGCCACCTGGTGGCATTTAAAAGCATAGGATTAAGGTATCAGACTTTTTTTTTTTTTTAAGAGATTTCCTTTGTTGTTCTCATGGCTGTCTTCATCCTCTGCTCCTTTCACTTTTTTGTTGATATATTTGTCTCTCTTTTCAGTCTGAAGATTCAGTCTGATGTAGCTGGTTGGAGGCTGAGAGGTCCCAGCGGTAACTTCTTTTGTGAACCAGCCTTGAGCTGATGAAGGGTGAGGGTGGCTATGGGAACTTGAGTCTGTGAAGTAGGGCACACTGGTCTTCTAACCAACTGAAGGTAGAAATGGAAACTATATACTCAGGAAGGTCCAACTCCATGACTGCCCAGGCAAGTACAGTAGCACATCCAGGAATACTCACCCCTGCCTGTTGCTTCACTGAGGACAGGAATCCAGGGAAAGTCTAGCCCTGTCAATCACTTTAGTGAGCCCAGCATCCCACCAATGTTCCATAGGCACATCCCATATGGTGTTAGCAATAACCTGGGATCCCTTGAACAGGGCAGGTTTCTATGAAGACCAAGGGTGAGGAAAAATATCAAATAATAATCAGTTCAACCAATCAATGTGCAAATCCCAACACAAAAAAAGCACAAGAAACAGGAAAAACCAAGACAGTGTCCTCTAAAATGTATTAACCCTACAGTAATGGCCTCCATGACAGTAGAGATTTCTGTCTCAAAAAAATGAGTTTCAAAGGAGAAAATAAAGAAGTGAAAGGGTGCCAATAGACAGCTGAAAGGAGGCTGACATTCTCTGAATGTATGCCCACACTTGATCCTATCATTATTATGAAGACTTCCTGCCATTTGGATAGGTGTGCTGACATCTCAGTTTGATTGTTTCTTGAATTTACCCAGTGGCTAATATTGTGGATTATGTTTGTCTTTTTTGAGTTTGTTTTTCAATCACATATCTTTTCCAGTGCCCTTGCCTTTGGCCACTTTTGAACAGGACTGCTTCTACACTCCACATGTTGAGTGTTCCCTGTCTATTTGAGGTGACAGTTCCTCATCAGAAGGGTCCTTAAGAAGGACGTAGCATCACTGCTACTGTAATCAGCATAGGGGCTGGGTGGTGTTGATCTCTGCCCTGGAGAAAGCAGAACACAGCAGATGCATGTGGCAGTTCAACTCCATTCCCACCCTTGCTGATAGTCTCTTGGTGGAAGTGGACGATGATTTGCTACCTTTGCAGTGGGGGGCATGAACTCAACTCTCCAGGCACTGATGACAGACATCACAGGATGAAGGAAATGGGAACAGAATGAGACGAGCCCCATGACTCTTAAGCTTGTTGATCCCCAAGTGGAAAT